TAGAAGGATCTTTGATCTGGATAGTTTAAGTAGTTTCCTGAAGGTCACACAATCAGTTATGGTGGAGGTTAGACTGAACTAGATCTTTGACAGATCTAGTTCTGTCTATCACTCCATCACTTAGATCATCACAAATGACAGATCTGTTATCACAGATGACAGATGACTCCATTCGTCATCTCTCCATCACTTCAGTGGACCTGAAGCTTAAAAGAGCACAGAGTTAGTTTCTCTGGTGTGAGAAACTGAAAGTGTAAATAAGGACTAAAAGGTATAATAGATAATGTGAAATAGGAAGAAAAGGGGCAAAGGGAAAGGGGAAGTGGCAGGGGTAGGGGAAAGGAAAGAAGGGAATGGAATTAATATGAGAAAATGAAAAAATGGAAACAAAGTCTTTGTAAATAGGGAGGGATGGAGGGGTGGAAGGGAGGGCAGGGGAATGGGGGAAAAATGTAAGAACCAGGAGAGATTATGTAAAGGTACAAATTTCCAATGATGAATGTCATTATATTGCATACCTTAAATGTACCAATAAAATTAATTTTAAAAAGAGCACAGAGCTAAAATACACTGTAGTACTGGCTAAGAACAGTTATTCTTAAAGGTATTATAAAACTTTTTCTTGTGAAAATTTTAAGAGTTTGAGGCACTTTATCTTGATTATTACTAATGGACATATTAGACCCTGTAGATAAACTGTACCTTAATATTCCTCTAATTAAAGAATGTCTATTTCTTCCCATCCTCTACTTTGCTTCACTTTAAATATTGACTATGAACAGCACACTCAGATTCCAGCATAATTCCTTTCAGTTGGACAGAGATACGAGGTCATTATGGAGATACATACAACCCAGTCTTCTCATGGAAATAGATGGTTACACCTTTTATCTCACAGTAGAAATGATATTACTAAGTCTTCATAAAGTACATTATGGGTACATGTTTTATCTTTGTCCTTGCTCCCATCCTGGAAGGAAAGAGATTAATCAGAAGTCAGGGATAGGACATGGCTCTCTGAAATTAGCAGTGGCTAGAAATGGTTACCACCCCTAAGCTTGAAGAAAAGACAGGGTAAGGAGTAGTTGCTCGAGTCCAAGAGCCCTGGACCTACAGTGAGGACCTTTAACAGGATCTACACCCTTTAATAGAAAACCTAACAGGGAGAGAGTCAAGGAAACTAATATCCCCACTGTGCTCTACTCCTGCACTTCAACCTCCCACTGGAGGTGCCCAGTGGTTGGGCTCAACAGGAAGCCAGAGGAGAAAGAACTGATAGCACAATATTTAGAAGGCAGCTAGCTCACTGGGGCACAGAACAAGAAGGATGAGGCAGGGCGCAGAGGGGAAGTGGAGGACACTCAAAACAGAGATGCATCTGACTGGGTGTGACTCTATCAAAGGAAATGATCTGGAACTGTAAGTTAATTGCCATCATCTTTTCTTTCAGTATATATTTAAAAAACATGGTTAATGAAGTTGACCTTTAAGCGAAGAAAGCATAAAACTCACAATAAATGTGTAATTCACACAAGAAACACTTCTTACTGTTAACAATATTTAATAGTTTGATGTTTCTTTTGAGGAGAAGGTGACTGAGAAAAATAATACAAAACGTTTTACAAGGGGATTAGATTGTAATGGTGTTTATATTTATTTTATTTTTAGACTCCAGTTATTGCAGTACTCTATATTTAACCTTGACTTATTTTCATCATTTTAACTGCTTTATTTTATGAGAAGACACTTTGAGAGTTGTAATCTGTCACCAAATTACTTGGTTATAAAATCTGTTTTACAAACTAGATAGCCATTCTAAAGCTGAAGAATTCAAAAAGGTTTAAATAATGCCCCAAGCAGTAAGTTCACAAAGATTTAGCTGCTGAATGTTGAATTTTAGATTATTTTTAGTATTTACCTAAACAAAACAACAAACAAAACTCATTAGTGTATAGTTTTCGTTATTAAGGAAATGGTAACTAACTTGTGGACTTATTTATTGATCTTGTCTAATTTCATTCATGCTTTGATTTTTTATTAAAATTAAGTTACTAATGAAATGACAACATCCATGATTTTGTCCACTTTCGCTTGTTCTCTATAATTGTCAGTTTCATCAAAAGACAAATCTATTCATCAACATAGTTCTAACTACTTTTTTGATTTTCAGAAAATTTTTTGCAAAGATTAAAGGTCAATTACTATTAGCGATGCAAGGTTCCAAGTTTGATCCCCAGTACCAAAAAAAGTCAATTATTATTAAGCCACAGCACAATTAAATGCATTATAATACACTTCCCTAGTATGCATAAGGCTCTGGGTTCAATCTCAAGCACTGAGGAAAATAAAAGCATAATAATGTGTCAATATGTTTGAGTAGAAGGGTAAAGAGGATAAAATGTCAGTTTTAACAGTGAGAATGGTAAGTGTGCACTTTTGAAATGTGTAGTAAAACTGGCTTTTTTGAATGGCATTAACATTCACCAATTAATAATATTAGCATGTTATTTATTCTATTCCTTGATAAAAGGAAATTCATGTGTTAGGATAACTCCATATTAAAAATACCAAGATAGTCTGTTCTTTCTTTAAAAAAAAAACCTGCTTTCACGATTTCTTTCTAAACACAAGGTCAGGAAAGACAAATTGATGTATGTAGATGACTATGATTATGGAATGATTAAATTTGGTCTTTCTTAAAATAGATTTTGTAAACTGAGAAGTACCAGAGTTGTCTGCTTAGAAAAACCAACTGATATCCATTCGCTCATTGAGCATCAGAGAGAATATTGTTTAATACTCGCTTTGACAATATACAGTATGAAACCAATGTCATACTGTCTCCTTCATCCGCTCATGTATTCACCGAGGGAAAAAAGTGATGATTCATCCCTTCAACTATGAGACAAAGCAGTTAAAATATTTGAAGAGAGTGTATGTGATATTAAATATATAAGCACAATAGTAAAATAAACAAAAAATATAGACACATTTTATTCATTTTTGTATTTGCAATGCCTCAGGCACAGCTTAGTAAAGATAGTTCCCTCCTCTATATCAGATAGTTATCTGATAGTTAACATTCCATTACAAATGAGAACTGCGTATTCTAGCTTTAAACAATTTATTATTCAAATACATGTTCCCTGACCATTCGGAACCACAAACTCGCAGGTCTGCATTTGTTCCTGTTCTTTCCTACAACTGGTGCTCACCATGTTTAAGGTTTGGGGGATTCTATGAAAATATAATGCTATTTAAAATCACTACTATTGTTTATAATTTTACAATATATTTAAAAATGAGATGACATCTGCTCCAAAACAAACTGGTTATCAGCACAATATGAAAAGCAATTTCCTTATTTATTTAGATGATTCTCTCATCAATCACTAGAATTTCCCTAGACAAAGATGTGCAGGGTTGAAGTATGGGATGCTAGTCAGTATTTGAGTTTTTTCTAAACCTGTTGTGGTTCCAAGTACCTACTTTAGGAAAGATGTTTGCAAACAAAATGTTGTAAGGGTGAGGGTTTCTCACAATTATGTTCTTAGGAATATTACTTCAAATGGTGTTTAATGGAATAGGTGATTTTGACATTGGAAAAAACCATTGAGAACTAGGTAATGATTAGAGTTCTCTTTTTTGTTTCAGCTTAATCTCCAACTCCAACTAAATTTAACTTTCAAGATATCCAAGAAGATAAATTCTAGGATAATTCATTTGGGCTGAAAATCTGTTTGTGGTAGATTGCAAGGCAGGGATTAAATCAACATTCACATTTCCCATTTCAAGGTGGAAGACCCAAATCAATCAATCTCTCTCTCTCTCTCTCTCTCTCTCTTCTTTCTGTCTCCACCATTCCATTTACCTTTCTGCCCTAATGTTCCACTTTGGTTTTCTTGCACAGCCCACCAGAAACCTCATGGGAAGAAGAGCAGTCTACATAATCCATGTCAGTGCTCCACATGGTGGTGAACACATTAAGAAAACTGATCACACATCTTTCATAATCTGCTAGGCAATGCTACAGTAACTAAGTCCTGTCCAGAGCCATCCGACTCCACTTCTAGTATGAGGCTCCAATAGGCACAGGTGGCAAATGTCAAGTTAACCCCTTTCTAACCTTGCCATTTTCAACACTCAAACAAGCTCTCTCATTAGTCTTATAAAATAAAGTATGAAATTCCAACATCACATCTCATGCTGTTAAATTAACAACATCACACTGCTACATACGACTTGAATATCTTCCATAGCTTTATGACTGGAAAAACACTGTTCAGATTTCATTTACCAGTTTAAAAATAGCAAACTCTAATTTGAAACATTCTCTCTCTCTCTCTCTCTCTCTCTCTCTCTCTCTCTCTCTCTGTCTCTCTCTCTCTCTCACACACACACACACACACACATAAATACACAATTGTGCGCTATCACTAATATTCCATCTCAGTCCTGGGCAAATATTTCTTCCTACAAATATAAATAAAATTCAGTATAATCACAGGTTTTATCAAAAGATGATGTTTGTTATGAAACAAATCAACAATAAAATATTCCTGAGAGCGAAAATGACAAATCACAACCTGCTTTGTGTAATAATGGCTATGTTTCTACTTTTAATATACAAATGAAAATTATTCAGTGTTAGTTTTGATTTGCAGATTATCCATAAATTATTATATTTCTGCCCAATGGAATTTCTACTTCTTGGGTGGGTGGGTATTGAGCAAAGCAAGTAATACATTTTATACATCTTAAAATGACGTGATAATTTTTAAAAGTGGTTGTCTTCAAATTTTGTTACTTCACAGGTCCAGAGATAAATTAAAAGAAATTTAGAAAAGTTGCCCACAGACCAATTTGAGTCCACATAAAATCTAAACTAATATCCCTGAGCTCCCTAAATGAGGGCCCTTATAGAGCACTGCAGAGACACTTATAATACACAAGGCACTCCAATTAAGTTTCGATAGAAGTTATGTCACATTTAAACTCACCGCTGGATGTAGGGGTCAGGGCAGTACTGTAGGGTAGCACACCGTGACGTTTCAAAATTCATTTCCTTCAACTCTCTTTGATATCAACAAATGGAGAGCAGTGGTATAAAATATACACATATACCTGTGTATATGTAGATTTATAGCCAGAAAGCTAAAAGCAATAGGGTCAAATGCCATCAGACATGGAAGTTTAGACACTTCCCCCTTCACACATATTTGCAAAGAGGCGGAGCATTTCTTCTTTTTAGCCAATGACATTCATCAGGTGACCAAAACATCATAAACAGTTGATTCTTACCAGCTGGGCATCTTCTCTAAAGTTGTTCCTCCCCCTCCACCAGGGCTTTAGAGTCCTTGACGTATAGTAGCCACACTTGTTGGCAATTTGGAAGCATCTCTGAACTTCTGATCTCGCTCGTGATTGGATGTTGGCATGAATGGCATCAGAGTTTAATTTCAGCAGCCTGGACTTTTGTAACAGAACCGAGCTGATGAGTGTCTACCTCACGCCAGCTACATACCATTTCCTTGTACCTGGGGACTGATTCGATTTGAGAGCTTCTGCGACTGCTTCAGGGGCCAAAATGTTGTGCTGTTTTGGAGAGCTGCTTAGGGAAGGGTTTTTTCATCCTTCCCCTCCCCTCCCCCCTCCAGCCTTCCTTTCAGCCAACCGCCTGTTGTGGTCACAATCTCAAATAGCAAAGACAGGGAAATTCCTTGATTATATTTAACCTAGAACTCACTCTTCGTCTCAAATAAGAGAGATATCTGTTCACATCTCCTTAGAAATTTTGTCTGCCCCAAATAAAGGAAAATAACTTTTAATGACTTGTCTAAATATTCTACCTCAAATACATCCATACATATGTTGTAATTTTCTTAAAGGGATGTTAAAATGGGAAATCATGTACTCTTTCAGAATCTTTTAAAGCTTGTGAAATTATTTCAAATATCCTGTTAATAAAACTGTTCTAGTTTATTTTGGTTTCTATCAGTTTGTTTCACTCTCTTTTGTCTCATTTTTTTTTCTCTTTTTGGTTTTGCTTTGGCTTGCTTTACTTTCAAATAAAATCATAACATTGTTCATACATACAGAAATTCACTAATATCGGTGAAAGTGTACATACAGAATTATTTCTTTCCTTTCTGAATGTGAGCTGTAAAACTACCCTGGTTCTGTGGATTTGGAAATTGAATGAAATATGATTCAGAAGCTAAATTAGAATAGACTGCAACAGGAAAAAAAAAAAAATCACGTGCCCAAGTGTCATTAACATGACCAGTTCACATTTTCTATTTGTCTCCAATCACAAAACACCTGTAAACTAGTCAACCAGTAGATAGGCAAGTTGTGAGACAATCTGAAGTCCTTTTTGGAGCAATGTGACATTTCTCTATAAGTAATTCTGGTTCAAAATGTGTTTCATAAAGATGTTTTACTTGTTGCTTCAGCCAGGATGGAAGGAAGAAGCTATTTAAAACTTGACATTCTCTTCCTTTACTTAGCCCAAGAGTGTCTAACATCTGTGAATTGTGAAATTCACAAACATGCCGGCCTGAGCCCCTGCCAAATCAAACAGCTTGTTCTACAAAATGTGAAACTTGAAGGAAAGATCATTTGACTGATTAATTATATATTTGCTAATTGGAGTGAAAGTTTTTGGCTCTCTTCCCTGCTATTGGCAAATACAGATGACCTAAATACAAAGTTCTTAAATTGAAAACAATCCATTTGCTGCAATCACGACCAAATGATTCCCTCACACAGGTCATTGATATTTTCATTTATAGAATGAATGAAATGCTGATTCCAAGCACAATGGTGTTTCTCAAGTTTTCATGTACCTGTCAGTCACCTGGAAATCTTTTTCACGCAGATGCTGGCTCAGGAGGAAGCCTGACACTACGCATTTCTAACACAGCCCCAGCTTATTCTCCCATGGCTGGCCAGTGTTCCACACTTGACAGGAGCAAGGTCTTGTGCTTTGCCCAGGTCTTATTTACAGTTCAGTGGTTCTAGAGAATGAAGAAGAGCTCTTATATTTTCAATTTCCATCCAAGGCTATAAAGACTCTCAGTTGATTTGCAAATATTCTTAGTGCATATTTTTATATACATATATTTTTAATTTTAGAAGTTTTACCACAAACCCATTCACAACATGGGAAAATAAGTGACAAATATACTATAATTACTGTAACTGCCTCTTAGCTTTCTATGGCATCCTTTCCCCGCAGGAGACTCAGGTGACTGTACAAATGTATAAATTATGTCTTTGCTATGCCAGTTAGACGCTTTTCAGAGGCTTTAAGTGTTTTAGGCAAAGATTGCAATAGAATAAGTTAAATAGAAGCCTGGGAGAAGGTAATTGCCTTTCTGGCCTGCCTGATGGAATGATGTTTGTGAACATATTTGATTTCTATGAAGCAGTGGAGAAAGGGCTTTGTGAAGCAGCAGTCAGTGGTGCTTAGGGTCTGGAACAGTGGACCTAAGGGACAGGAACACTTTTTCCTTCTCAACTTCTAGCAGCCAAAACTGTACCCTCTGCCAAACTCAGATATTCCTCATACAAACACGTCTCACTTACATCCATCACATTTAGTTCACAACTTATTCTTCATGCTCTCTCTCCAGTAGGTTACATCCTTCTCTGGTTGCTCTCCTATCTTGGATCACATTTTGCTTTATCAGAGGTGTTTTCAAACCTCATCTGAATGTCCTTCAGAACCTCAAAAGTCTCCCTCATCCCTCCAGATAAAAGTAACCTGTTCTAACTTCCTAAATCATTATACTGTATCCACATTTCTTTGCGTGACTCTATCTACAGTTCCCACGGGACTGTATGTAGCTAGTTTTGAGTAAAGTTCATTTCCTGTTCTGGACTATGAACAGTCAGACCAGGCTGGCTATTAGATTCACTTTGTATCTTTAGAGACTGTGAAATATTGCAAAGTGAATTAATATGCTCATATCCTTGTAAAAATCACCTAATGGCAAGTATTGCAACTGATTAAAATAATTTCTATAAAACACTTGAGTTTTTAGAATCAGTTTTATGATGCCTAACTTTCAGACAATGAAATTCACTAGTCAGAAGTGTTCAGTTTAAGGCATTTTGAAACATTATGCACCATGATTCCTCCAGCATAATCAAGCATGAAATTTTCCATTACCCCAAAATTCCTCATAGCCCTTTGCCATTCCACCCTCACTGCTGTCCTTAGACAATCACCATTTTGCTTTTTGGAAATTAAATGGATATTTTTTGTAGCATGTTATCCAATAGAACTTTCTATGAGGAAGACAATATTTTATACTTGCTTGGCTTTTCTTTTCTGTTTGGTACTAAGGACTAAACCCAGGATCTTTTGCATTGAGATCCACTCCCAGCCCCTTTTAATTTTTATTTATTTATGTAATTTCAAGGCAGAGTCTCTCTAAGTCACTAAGTTGACTGGGCTTCACTTAAATTTGTGATCCTCCTACCTCAGCCTCCCAGAGTGCTGGGATTACAAGTGTCCAGCTTAAATTTGCATTTTCTGATATAGTTGCTTTGAATTACATGAAGCTAATGTGATTGAGAAGCAAAATTTATTTTTTATTTACTTTTAATCAATATAAATTTTAGTAGCCACATGTGGCTAGTGACCACTATGTTAAACATCACAAAGCTAGAATGTCACATAAATGGAGGCTCGTAGTACATATTCTTCAGTGCCTGTGTTCTTTTTGCACACTGATGCTATTGTTTTGAGACGCAGCTTGTTGTTAACTGTATCAGCGATCTAGTATTTTTTGTAGATGTTAACCATATGAATTGTTGATGTATAATTTGCATATAATGACTAGTGTTCTTTTTTTGGACAATGAAGAACAAATTATAGTCTTACATACTCAATTATGGCTATAACTAGAGTCCAGTAGGCTTTTTAAAAGCTCAGTGATAATACAGCCCTGAACTTGCTCTTGGTCCATTTGAGTTATCTAGAAATGTAGTAGATCCTTCCTTGCAAGAATACTATAACTCTAAAGGAGATAGGTTATGTTCCTAGTGGAAAGAAGTTGGCTAATCTGTGTTTGCCTGGGTTCTGGTCCTAATTTACTTTCAGACCCTAATCAAGTAGTCTACTCTCTTTGAAAATTAGATTCTTTATTTTTAAAGAGCAAAGATGTATCAGTTAGAACTTTTTCTGTGTAAGCAATAGAAACTAACTTTGCTTAGCTAAAACCAACACTGTGAAAACAGGTAAAAAGAAACATGAAAATTCAGAGTGTAAGAAAACATTGATAATTAGGTATTATAAAGGGCCAGAACCAGGATAGTTGTAGAGACCTCATTAATAGTAATGAACACAGATTTAGTTCACAGTGCCAGTGAGAATAACTCAGTTCCCACAGATTGTTTATACTTGAGTCACTGAGTTTAAGATTCAAATTCCCATAGGAGAGATGCCATGTTGGGTCAGGAAGAGCCCGAACACCTTGACTGATACCTTCACCTTGACTGCAGAAAGAGCTTTCAAATGAAAATAGAGGTTCTGTTAGCCAAGAAAAAAGTGGTAGGTGATGGGCAATGGGGAACCACAGATGTTGCCATGCAAGTCTTGAATCATTTGATCTTGCGTGTTCCCTAGAGCTCTGCCAGGCTGTGTGTGTGTGAGCACTGCATTGTCAGAGAAGCCGAATTCCTTTGTGTCAGGTGGCTGAACCTCAGGCTCTGCCCTCAGCAGGTCATCCTGACCTGTACCACTTTTTTTAAATAGGAGAATTAGGAGAGAACCTTCTAGCATACAACTTGGTAGAATCAATATACAAATGTCTCCAAAATTGAAGGAACTGAAAAGCTTGATAATTTTTAGTTATGTAGTACTTTTCTGTCCATAACCTTAGTTCTACCAATCTCTTCTTTATAGAAGAGGAAACCAAAGCTTGGCTTTGGTGTGTGAGTGGGCGGGGGGTGGGGGGATCCAACTAATTCTTCCAACTTTGTGTTCGGTAAGTATAATATTTCCTACAGCCTGACAAATAGGAAGAAAGCTGGGTCTGGAAATTAAGCGTACTGGAAAGCAACCAATTTTTTGTTTTAATTCAATGAAAAAGCAAATACATCGTAAGCTTAGCCATGTGGTTCATCAGATTTAACCTCTACATTTTTGCAGGTCCTAGAATTCATCAAAGAGAAAACTGTAGTTAAACTAATGTCTTAGATTCCACTGTGAAGAAAAAGATGCTTCTGGGGGATATCCTGAGGAAAAGGACTTTTCTATTCAGAGGGCCAGCAAGGAAACACAGAAACCAGTTGGCCAGGGAGGAGGCTGGCAGTTTCCCTCACAGACAAACCTGATACCCTCCAAATCACACCCAGTGTCCAAAAGCAATGTGGGTGGGCTGCTTTTGCAGACATCCCTGAACAGCTGTGTGGAGGCTGCTCCTCACTCCCACCCATCCTTTGCACAAAGCCCACTGAGCGGCAGATAAATAAGGAAACACAGGAAGTCCTTATTTGGCACTTCCCAGATTTTTTTTTTTTTGTCTGAGCCATTTGTCCAATGAGGATCAGATGCACCTTTACACTAACTCCTTCTGCGTGTGTCTCCTAACATGAAGAAATCTCTTGCCTCGTCCCAGTCCAATCACTGAAATCAGGAAATTAACAGCCATAAAATACTCTACACATTTTGCTCAGATTTCCCAGTTGTTTGTCCCAAAATGTCCTCGTAGCAAGAGAAAATCCTGCCAGTTGTTCTGTTTTGTTAGTATCTTTTAATTAGGAACAGATCCCGGGACTCTGCGTTTTGTGACACGGAGATCTTTGAAGGGCTCGGGACCGTCGCTGAATGTCCCTAAGTTCAGTTTGACTGGTGTTTCCTCAGGATGCGATTCAGTTATGCTCTTGTGGCACTGCTGCAGCTCGGTGCGTCATATCAGGAATCGCTCAGCTTTCGAGGCCCATCGGTGGGTTTTCCCCAGCCTTCCTCTCTGAAGTGGATTTACTGTGAACCTAAAAATTTAAATGTCAAGATTTACACAGCCCCTTCCAAGGTCCCCAGAGCAGACTAGCACTTTGTGAAATGTACAAATGTGAAATGTTTAACTGTATCCTTTTGACATTACCACACCTTTCTATTCTAATTGCCCCTTCATCGCCTTTCATTTCAAAGTTGTGATAGAGCAGCCATGGGATTGCTAAGATCCAGCCAAAGTAAAATGAATGGGGAATAATTTAAGATTGGGTTTGAAAGGACACGTGTAGGTGATTTGTAATTACGTTTTTGTAGAGTTAAATTATCACTGTTTATACTGGAACAGGAATGGCTTTTAAGGATACTGTCAGTGCCCAAGTGTTGATTCAGTATATGTGGCATATCACAATATCTCCTCTTGTATTGGGCAGGGGAAGTGTTTGAATGTCTCCTTTTATCAGGCATGCAAAAGTGTGAATGGAGAAATCAATAACATTGATATTCATTCACAACCCAAAGTTCTGTCCTCTGTGTTATTCACCATATACAATTATAAATGCACTGTACATCATAGGGTTACTTATGAGAAAAATGCATGGGATAATGGTTATAATTATTTTTGTGTTTGTGGGAATACAAACATGTCTAATACTACAAAAAGTAAGCATGTCTATGAACTCTTCAATTTGGGCTGTTAAAGAAAAGGCTGTATACATTATACTCAAAAATTTTTCCCAAGAACCTATGATAATACAAGTGTAAATGTTTAAAGGCTATTTTTTTTTTTTTTTTTTTTTTGGTACCAGGGATTGAACTCGGGACCTTGCGCTTGCGAGGCAGGCTACGGAACCACTTAGCTAAATTCGCAGCCCTAAAGGCTATTTTTATATATTATCTATCCATCTATATATCAATGAAATCACTGTGTTCCAGAACGATATATGATGCTATAAAATACTTATAAGATTAAAAAATACAGGTGCAGGATTATCAGGGTCTGGGGAGAGTAGGATAATTTAATGGGTATAGAGTTTTTGTCTTGCAAGAAGAAAGAACTCTCGAAATCTGTTGCATGACAATATGAATATGCTGAACACTACTCAAAAATAATTTACATGATAAACATTGTTCTATTTTATCATACTTAAGTTTAAAAATTAAAAACATGTAGGTGACTGAAGGAATCAATAGTGAGCATAAACATTAAGTGTAAAAAAAATGCAAGACTAAGGAGTATTTATTCACAAAATGTATAATAGGTAGTTCTACAATTGTGTTAAAGGAACATGAATTTGCCTGTGAAATTCTAAGAAATACTTTTGTGTATTTTTATCTATCATAATACCTTAGACTTTTATTATGTACAATATTCTGGGTATAAAATAAATGTTGATTTAATTTTTAAAAATTGAAAATGTGTACTGAGTCTTCCAAATAAATTGACCACTAGCTTCTCGTTTCTGATTGTAATGCATTTGTTGGACTCCTCGTTGCAAATAAATGACTGTGGATTTAATTGTGATATGATCTGAATTTCTAGTGTGTTTCTGGTATGATTCCCTCACAGGCTATATAAAACAATCATTTATTTAATGGTTGATTAATAGAAGCAACGTGAGTATTTCTTGAAGGCCCCCCCCCGTGTGCATGTTGGTGTGCTGAGAGTTGTTGGCAGAAACTGGATCAAATAAGGTGTAAATCTCTGTGTTCAAATGACTCCCCAGTAGGGCTAAGAATGATTTTCTTTTCCTTTCTACATCTTATCCAAAAAATAGCTACAACATAGTTGTACCCCAAGTTACTAATGACCAACTTGCTTTCTGGGATTTTTGTTTGAGGTATTTGGTAGTGCGTTGACACTGATAACATAACGCTTACTAGCTTCATGAATCACATGTGGAGGTGGGAAAGTAGAGAATGCACTATTCTTATTTGCTTTTCTGTGGTTAGTTTGAGGCCAAGAGAGACAGCTGTGACTGAACCTCTCCTCAGACACACATTCACAAATTCGTGCCTTGTTGTTTTGATACTGCTCATCAAGAAGTCATAAAAGCCATAATTTCTGGCAGGAAGTGAAATGGATATAAGCCAAGATCTCTATATTCCAAAGCCTATTGCAAGATGATTTCTTCTTGGCATGTAATATCCTGAAATGTAGTGTTTACCTATGAAGCACAGCTTTAAGAAGAGAAGCTAAAGACATTTATAAATGCCTTTTTTTGGTAAATTAACTACTCAAAGTTAAGAAGGAATTTAGAGATCATTTACTTAGGAAAAAAATCTCAGCAGGCAGAATAACTTAAAAATAACAAGCTTTCCTACGGCAGTTGAAATTTTACAGAACACTTGTGCAGACATTATCTCATCATGTCATGTGAAGTCGATGGCTGGGACAAGCAGTGTCATTACCTCCATTTTATGTGTGAGGAAGCTAAGACTCGCACAGCTTAAGACACAAACTCACGATTACATGATCCTATAACCATCAGTAGCTGTGGCATGTAATGCACCCAGCTCTAATCCAGACCTGAAACAATCTATTCAATAAAACAGTATTAATTAAATGCCTACCATATGCCTAGTGTTGCCTAGGGCGCTGAGAAAATAAAGGTAAATAAAGCATAGTTCTTTCTCTTTTCTATAATATTTTCAAAACCAGAATTTTTAGGCTTTGTGATTTACTAGTTTACATCACTTATGTATTGGATAATTACTAAAATCACTGGAAAGTGGTCAGATTAGATGTTATTTTCTCCATCTTATACAGAAAGAGACAGTTAAGGTATTTGCATTAATCATCCAGCCAGATAATGGTAGAGCCAGGATCCTCTGGTAGAACTCAGGTAAACTTGTATCCCTGAAGTTATTACTAACTTCACCCACACCTACTTTGACCCACAAAAGTTTGAGAAGATAAACCTTTGAAATCCTGGAGTCCCATGTATGGTATGTAGCACGTGTCCCTCAGGGTTTTTTTTCCCGGTCCAGTTATCCTGTAATAACATAAGTCCCACAAATACCAGCCCCCAAAGGAAGGCATGAGCTCATGGTCAGCACCCACATTTGGGCCAGGAGTCAAGAATGTTAACTCTGCTTATTTTGAAATCTGGGTCCCACACACTATTCGAGCACGTGGGGGTGGATTCACTGATAAAAGCCTTCTGTGGGATGCAAACGATTCTAAGGGCATCCTTACAGGGAATCCCCATGCCATGACCTCTGAGTGAATCTTGTTTACAGCAACATCTCTGCCAAGTTTCTAAGGGGTGAATTCAAAGCCCTGTATCAGAAGAATAACCTCAGTCTGAAAATGCAGTCACTTCTCGGTGTCTTCAGGTAGTGAACACACTATTTGGTCACTAAGTCACTGATCCATTCAACCCATCTGCATTCTTATTCAGTCATCTGTGGTATGATCCTCCTAAACAGAATGGATAATCTTCCTCATGGACCTGGAATACCATTAATATTATGATACTGATTGAAAGAAAATTATTTTTCAAAGCAAAGATCATCCTTTTGCTTATCATGAAACGCTGATTCTACATAGAAAAATGTGAGGAGGGAAAAATAAAGGAGAAAGTGATGAAGTTGACATTGGCATTTGTACACATATGGATACATATGCGTATGTATGTGTATTATAGGTAGTATACATGTTCACTTTTATACATATTATATTGCACATATTTCTATGTGTGTAATATACCATGGTAATATATGTAATAAATATTTATGAAATTCATATGTATATACAGAGAGAAAATTTATTAACCAAGTTTACCTCCAATTTTTCTTCTTTTTTATCCTGTTTTCTAAATAAACCAGGCAAAATTATTTTTTAAAAAAATAAATCCTCTAATGGAAGAAGCAAAATATGCAGTATATCCTCATGGTGCAGAAGGTATATGTAGACACACTTTCATAGATGCAAAACAAAAGAAAAGGAATCATAACCCTTTGTTAGTAGTTATTTTTAAATTTTAGTGTGAGGAAAGTGTTTTCTTCTTTACGTGTATGTTTCTGTGTTTTCAAATTTTATATATGCCCTATTTTCATAAGATGAAATAACCATTAAAAACACTTTCCTGGAGAATTTTTAGTCATGCAATAAATGTGTCTGAAAAGAAAAATATGTCTTAAACAGTTCCATCCTGTATGAAGCTGTGAAATTAAAAGCCATTGCCTCTGGAAAATGTTCCTGATAAATGAGTGACAAAGATTATGTCGAGATGAAAATGGAATCTAAAAGAATGTTTCCAATTTCCAGATAAATCGCCTTGGACATCTACATGGAGGATTTATGCCAAGGAATGGGAAAGCCTTACTCTCAAGTTGATTTGAAATAGGCCCAGAGGTGCAGTATGAGGTTGAGTGGAGGTCAGAGCGCTTCCATGGGTTTTCTGAGGAGGTAGAACTGTGTGAGCCAGTCACCAGTTCAGGGTGCAGGATTTCACACTGAGTCCTCTCTACTGACAACCACTGGCTCATGAGAAAATATCACCCATTTAAAGTATGAATGAAGCAAAGTCTGGAAATGCAGGGCAGGTCTCCCAATGTGGTGTACACGCTGCCTGCAGCCACACCATGCCACTGTTGCTGGGATACATACTGCTCCCACAGCAAGGTCGCCTTTCCTCAGGGCTGCTCTCCGCCAGTGGCTAAAGCCGGTGGGTTACTATGCCAGACCCATTCTGGTGGTATGTGAGACACTTCTGTGTGGTGATTTTGACTCAAGAATGTTTCATCAGCCTTGTCAAACCTTCCTTAAAGCTGATCATCAGCCTAAAACTCTTGGTAGTGAATTCTTCTTTTCGCTTCTTCATTGCTGAGAGAGAGAGAGAGAGAGAAGAGAGAGAGAGAGACAAAAGAGAGAGAGAGTGGAAGAGAGAGTTTTTTGCTTTCAGAAATGCCTTTCTTCTACCTCCTTTTTTATCCTCTGCAAGCATTTTTCATAACATATCTTGTGCATATCCAATCCCTTCTTTAGCTTCAAAGCGATGCTAGTGTTGCTGACAGGTGCCAACAATGGGGAAGG